GTGAAGATTTGGTCTCTGACTTCACACATATTGGGCACAATGGCAGCAATGTGATTTGTGCTAATGCAACCCTGTTGGACAGTTGGACATGTCTCTTCACTGTATTACTTCTCATGTAGCATCTAAGCTTATTTCCTGGCACTTCAAGAAATGTGAAAAGAATCCTTTCTGATTAAACTAGCTAGAGACGATTCTGGTATCCGAAATACAGTCATTTTTATAAGGACTGTGTACAGAGAACATCACAATCTAAATTGTGGCTTTGTTTTCATGAAGAAAGTAGGGAGAAAGATACTAAAGAGTTTACATTTTTCAGACTGGGAAGCTGGCAAACCTATGTAATAGTTACATGATGTCTAATGATTCTTACACGGCAGGACTCATGCTGACTAAGCTGGTGACATTAGCCAAAATATTAGGAAAGATTCAACATGTTAGTGTGTACAGACTGATTCTTGCTGCTTTCAGCAAAGTCCCGCAAGATATAGACCAATTCAAACTGGAGGTAGAAGGAATAGCACTTGGCTAAGAGAGGCTATGTGTCTGTGGCCTGCAATCTAAATAGACTGAGCCTTCAGTAATTTGGAATTTTGCAGAGTCAAAAAAAATCAACTGTGGTATTTACCAAAAAAAGTTGAAAACTTATGTCTCCCCCAAACCTGCACACAAAGATTTATGGAAGTGTATACATACTTGCCAAAATCTGGAAACAAGCAAGATTTCCTTTACTAGGTGAGTGCATAAACTGTGGTACAGCCAGACAGTGAAATATTCTTCAGCGCTAGAAAGAAATGAGCTCTCAAGCCATGAAAAGACATGAAGGAAATTTAAATGCATAATACTAAGTGAAAGAGGCCAATGTGAAAAGACCTCATGTGATTTCAACTATATGACATTCTATGAAAAGCAAAACTGTGGAGACAATACCAATGAACAATACCCAAGTACCAGTGGTTACCAGGGATTAGGATAGAAATGAATAGGGAGAGGATAGGGAATTTTTAGGGCAGTGAAACTATTCTTTATGATACTATAATAGGGGATAAATGTCATTATACATTTGTCAAAACCCATAGAATGTACAATACCAAGAGAGAACCCTAATGTAAAATATGGACTTTGGATGATGATGATATGTCAGTGTAGGTTCATCAGTTGTAACAAAGGTATTGCTCTGGTGTCAATGTTGATGGTGGAAGAGGTGGTACATGTGTCGGGGCAGGACTATATGTGAACTCTGTACTTTCCACTCAATTTTGCTGTGGATCCTAAAGATGCTCTAAAAATAAAGTTTGTTTTTTAAAAAATCAACTGCTTCTTAGCCCCAACTGTAATACTGTAGCCTTTGAAGGAGATAAGTGTCTGACCCCAAGTTTGAACCCCAAGTTCAAAAAAATCCTATGAGAGTTCTTTGCCTGACAATGGGAGCTAGCTCACTGTCAAAGATCAGATTAAGAGTTACCTTCCCACCTAATCCTGTACAAGCTCTTTAACTGTGATGATTTGTGCATAAAACATAACAAAACCCCCATAATATGCTGAAAAAAAATAACAAAAGATGATAGAAATCCTACCAGATTTTGAGAAAACCCTAAAACTAGCTTATAATAGCTTGTGACTGTTAAACACCCAAACTGTACTTGGACCTCAGCTTCCACAAACAGAAAGTAGAATGATAAAGCTGTGCCTCCCCGAAAGCTGTCTTCTCTATTGCCTACCTCAGCTGTGATCATAAAGGAAAGAGGACCAGTGTAGTGGAGGCTAAGATGCACCATCCAGACCCTCTTCAGGACTGAAGAACTTATTTCCCCCAATTGCTGGGAGTGTTCTTGGCTGAGCACCCTCAGCAGTCAGTCTTGTCTAGGAATTTCTCACTGCTGAAGAGAGCTACCTTACCCAACTACACACCCCCTTTCCTGGACACATCCTATAACCAATGAATGACTGGTCAATGCAGATACATAAAGATCAGATTAAGGTCCCAACCTCCTTGGCCAAACTCGAAACTACTCTACAGGGTCAACCCAGCTTAAAGACCTTCTGCTTTGTGAAGGCCTCTGCTGAGACTGCATCACATCTGATTTCTCCTATGCCCTTTGTTCAAGCCTGTTCTCCTCTCTGCCTCCACACTCAGTGATCATCGGTACACTCCTTAATAAACTTCCTGCATGCTCATCTCTGCCTCAGAGTCTGCTTCCCAGTGAACTTTATTTTCAAAAACTCAAAAGATCTTCCAGAGGGCAGAGGCTAGGGCTGTTGTATGGGCTGATTAAGAAACTTCAGCCACTGCTGCAGCAGGGCACCTTGGCTATTGATCAGTGGCTACCTATGTTTCTCTCATTCCCTTTTCTGAACAGAAATGTGTGTGTGTCTTTTCAAAAAAAATTGAAAATAAGTCATATTGATACTTTTTCTCCTTGGCTTAAAGTAGCTTTCTAAATAATATGAAGCACTGAAGCACCTAGAAAAGCTATGCAGAAACTTATGTTACTGTGTTAGTCCAATTGTGCTGCTATAACAATATACTTTAAACTGGGTAACTCTCAAAGAACATAAATTTATTTCTCACAGTTCCATAGGCTTGGAAGTCCAAGATCAGGGTACCAGTAGAACAAGTGTGTGGGGAGGGCTCTCTGCTCCCAAGATGGTGCCTTCTTGCTGCCTCACATGGCAGAAAGTGGCAAAGAGGGATGAACATTGTGTCCTCACATGGCCTAAGAGATGGAAGGGCCAGGCAGCTCTCTGAACCCTCTTTTATAAAGGCATTAATCTACATTTCTGGTAGAAGCTATGGAATGTTCTTTTGGAGGTATGTCAGAGCCAAGATTCATCTCTCTGGGGTTGATGTTGTCTAACGTCAGTGGTAAGACCTTTCCAAGACCCTCTACCTTGTTTTGTGATTGATGAGTCTCTAATCACATGGCAGAAAATACTGCAGAAAGTGTAGCTGCTTCATGATCCATGAAAGCAGCTGAGTCTGTAAGTGAACTGAAAAATTTGTCCTCCAAGTAGCACCTGAGATGTTTGCAAAGAGAATTTGAAGATACTAAATTTCATGTTGCTTTTTGCCTTTTGATGTAAAATTGGCGATAGGTTCATGTTTTTAAAATTGGTTCTGATATACAATGCAATCACTTTTAAGAATGTAGTAAGCTCTTTAAATTTACACATTTAAATGAAGATTATAATTTTCTGATCAAATAGTACATGACTCTGATGGGATGGGGTCAAGGTAGAAGCTTAATTACTAAATGAGGTATAAACTTAGAGCAAGATTGACTTGTTACTGAGCTAACAAACTTCTCAGTCTGGCTTCTTTCAATTCCTCTTTACTAGACTAAAGAAAGAAATCAGATTCTGAGGCAAGGTTTTGTCTGCAGTAAAGGTCTCGGGACTCCAGCTGTGGAGGGATAAAGAGCCAGGCACACTGATAAAAATAACAAAATATGTAGCTTTTAAAAAATGCATTAGATGCTACATAAGACTTTTCCAAATTTTATCTAGTTAGCATGGACTTTTTTTTAATAAGAAAATAATACTTAAAAATAGTGACTCATAAAGGTTTTAAGCCGAGATTGAACAAAGTTAATATGATTTCTTTCTGGTTGGGAATGATATCCTAAGTTCCTTGGCTTATGGTTTATGGCTTTTGCCCAATAGGGCCATTTTAAAGGGACAATGAGCCTTGCTTCAGCTGCCATAGAAGATTTGTACTCCACCTTGAACGCAGGAAAATGAAGGAGTTGTATAAATGCTATTTCCCAGGATGTTAACTTGATCAGTAACTGAAGTTCTAAGAGGCTATGTATAGTTGCTCTATATTATACTATGTGTGGTTAAAAAGATGAATATTTAAATGCCAACACTAAAGGCTGATGTGAGGAAGTTACAAATCTGGTTGACTGAATTCTTTAAAATCAGCACCAGTTACTTATTCATCTTTTATCTCCAACCATAGCATATTATCTATTTGAATCAATGAATACATGATAACCATTTTTTTAAAAACTTTATGTATTTAAAACCATTGACCTTGTAAGAACATCATCAGCCTATAATAGAAAGACTTACAAAATCAGCTTCCATTAATGACCACAAATATCACAAATCTAGATCTGTCATTTGAAATCTTAAAAGGTGGGTGAATTTGATTCACTCCTGTGATTACCGTTTCTGTTCTACAATATCCAGACAATAACTGCATGAACAATGTCTTAAATGGAAGTTTCCTTTAATTGATATTCAAGATGTCCTTTAGCTCAGAACTTTATTATTTAGAGAGAACATGTAGCCAATATCAATGATGATCTGTTCCACTGATATGTACCTGCAGATTTAAAAGTGCTGTTCTTCCCTCTTCGGTTAAGGAAGCGCTTCCTGTCACTCATTTTCTCCATAACCTCAGACAAGTTTTCACTTGGTTTAATGACAATCAGCCTTCTCATCTTACTGAGACATGATGTTCAGGGAAAAAAAGTCTAAAATCTTTTACATAAAAGAAGTTTCATAATCACAAGCCATGAAAAGGGGGAAAATATATACTTACCGTAGGTACTTTTATGATGAATTTCCTGACCTCAATTTGATTAAAATCTCAATCTAAAGATTGCAACAATATAGATTTCTTTAAAGTTTAATTGTTCATTTCACTGAACGTTGAATGGAAAAAAACCTCAAGGTGGGGCAGGCAAAAGGGTGGTAGAGCGGAAGGAGAAGTTAAGGACGGAGCTGCTTTGCAGATCACAGCATTTGAAAGTGAGCAGATGATTTGACAAGAAGCAAAAACCACACAACAGAATATCATATAGTCTTTCTGCTCACTTTGTTTCACAAAACCATTCAGGCTCTTTCTATTGTCCTCTTCCACCTCCTCTCTCTTCTCTTTTTATTATTTCACAGATGCCACTGGGGTAGGTAACCTGATCCAACTCTGAAGAACTCAGAGAAGGAAAGAAAACCTTCTATTTGAGCAATTTTTCCATCCCTGATATGCACAGGCAATGAAGACGCTGCCAGCCATGCTCGGAATTGGGAAACTGTTTTGGGTCCTCTTCCTAAGCCCACATCCGGACATTTGGAGCATCCACGGTAAGGCACCTACTTAATTTATTTCTGGTTTTATTTATCAGAGGGTCTTGGAGGCAATGTGTTGTGCCCTTGCTGAACTTAGTACGATGTGATTTATGCTAAATGGGTAATGGTAGACGAAACCAAGCAGTTAGATTTCTTCACTGAAGACATTATAGGACATAAACCATATACCACATGGTATTCACCTGTCTAAATAGTAGGCACTGCATCCATAGCTTGGCCAATCTTCTTAAAAACATATACTGAAGGTAAGAAAAGAGAACTAAGTAGATGTTATAAATAATTAAACACAAATTTATCACTACTACCAGAAAAAATGCTCTGGCTGATGGTGGATAGCTCGTTCTTTCCAAACTGAGTCTAGCAGAATGTTGTAGTGCTCAGTAGTGTAGAGCAGGTGTTGGATAACTGGGGTTATACCTGTCTCCATGGTTACTCTTGAATAATGTTTTCTCTAAATAAAATCTCTATACTTGCTTCAGTAGGGTATGTGCCTTGAGAATACTGGATGAGAAAGTGCTGAGAAATATAAGAGCTGAGCATTCTGTCATTGCTTCTATTTTGTTAAAAGGGAATAATTCCTACTTGATTGCCAATTGAACATCAAAACCAGGTTGAGTTCTGCATAGATGACATTTGATCACTTGTGCAAAGACTTCATGCAGGCAAAAAAAAGGCAACTCCTTCTTTATTGTGAGGTCACTTGCTCCCTTATGTTTATGCATATTATAAAGGGGAAAGGCTTATGAATGGCTAGCAGAAGTTTCTGATTTCTAAGTTAGTTCTAGCTTCAAATATTCTGTCTTATTATCCCTCATAAGCACACATTTGTCAGTTTGTGTGCTGCGGTTTTATATTAGAAAATATGATCACTGAGGTCTTATGGGAGGCCCATCTTCGATTCTAGAACTGTGTGGTTTAGAAATTGTCTCTATGATGGGAGGATGCCACAAAACCAGGTCTGGAGTAAAAATGTGCTCAGTCAACCAAACGTTTTTATGTTTGTAAGTATTTGGTATTAAGTCAAGTAGGTGCTTAGATGGTTGAGTGACTTTTTCACGTCCCATGAGAAGCCTACAGTTATGTAACTACAACTAGAGTCAAATATTGTTGAATAGAATTCATCCCAATTTGAAGAGTATATAAACTACTCTCTGTGAAATTGAGGCAAAATATTTTCGGTGTTATATCACATTGCAGGTGGGGTATGATTTCTATTCCTCCTCCCAATGTGCTCTAACATAGTGCTTGCAAAAAATGGACTGGAGTGTTAGAATTGGGTTCATCGACTGGCTCTGCCACTTACTGTGTGACCTTGATTAAGTTTTTTATCCTCTCTTATCTTTAGTTTCCTCATTTAGAAAATAGAGATAACAATTGTACCTAAATTGTGGGGCTATTATGAATGCAATGATATCGGTAAAGTGGTTAAAATACTAAGCGTATATAATAAAAGCTCAATAAATCTTAATGGCATTTTTGTTAACATTATTTTCATTAAGCAACCTCTACAAAATTCAATTAAATGAGAAGTAAATTTTAACATTATTATTTAAAATAGTTAAGTTTTTAAAGTTAAATAAAATAAATAAGTGAATATATTGTGCAATATATTTAGCCCAAAATATAATGAATCAAATTATTTGGAAAATGAAATGGAGACTTGTACAAAGTACTGGCCAGATATATAGCAGTTGATGTAATGGATTATAGCATTAATTGCATTAAATTAAGGATATGAGTTGAGCTAAGGAACATTTGGTTAAATTTGTTCTCCCAGACAGAGCTGACAGCTTCATTTCTTAAAACCACATTCATTATATCCTTTATATTTGGGGATTTCCTGTGATTTACTAAATTGCTGAATTCTTTACAGTAGCTTATTTTCAAAGTATTTAAAGATAATCTTTGAAGATTTTCCCCCTACTTCAAAGCAATGCAAGATCTGTGTGCTTCTTCATAGGAGTAAGGCTGCATCTATAATAAGGTTGGAAAAAAATATCATGTTCTCTGCAAACTTCCTGTTTAAGGCCCTTCTTTATAACAAAAATACGCTTGCTTGCATTTTGTGTTTCTCAAAAAAAATAGAGGGAAACCTGCCTCTCAGTGTCTGGCATATGATTTCTGTCCTGATGAAAGTAATAAAAGTGTCAACACCTTCCCTCCATGCTGGCAAAAACTAGGCTGCGGGTACAAGTGTCTCTGTTGGTTGTCTGTCCTGTTACCCTGGACCATTTGTCTGAGGCCTGGGAACACTTGTTCAGTTGAAGATCGACCGAGGATTTCACCTTCAGACAGGCAGGAGCGCTGCAGTTAATGTCCAGATGTCGCTTGGCATTATGTGTGAGCCGGAATAAAGGCAGTAGGAAATCTGTGATTGATTGATCACTGGTTATTGTGATAAAAAAAAAAATCCTAATCTGATCCAGGAAGGAGAGGACACCTATAGTTTGGCTCTTTTGAGAACACATGGTTAGGGCCACGTCTCCATTTGGGTCTTGCCTGTGTACTGTACTCTTTCTGCTTTATTGTGGTTGTTCAGTATGGTTGATGGATCAGCTTTTAAACACAATACTCCACATCGCACACAAATTGTGTTGCTCCATCACAAACTGGCCATATCTTTGAGTCAAAGCAGACACACAAGGACAGAAGGTGCTGTGCTTCTCTCTATCATTCCCTGAAGTTCAGGTTTTGTAGCACAGTGTCTCCATCAGGCTTATTTCTATGGCTTCAGCTCTTTGTTTCTACTGAAATGTGCACAAGAAGGAACACTGGAGATAAAGCTCTGTCTGCTACCAAATGCCTGTGTATTGTTAAAACAAAAATGCCTGCCACATATTACATAAAGGTTTAGTAATACATTCTGCAGCTACAGGATTTCTTGAATTAAGGCATGGAAAGATTAACCCCAGTGTTGATTACGGCCTTGAATAGACTTCCGTGTCACTGAGAAGCTCTTTAATTTAGTGCCTCTGTCCCACTATCAAAATTCGCTCAGTTGTAATGTTGAAGTCAAAAGCTGTTTATCTTGCCTCATTAAGACTTTCCTACTTCATTTCCATTATTTGTAAGTTTCACTTTTCTTCAGAGTTCCTAATTGTTGAAAGAAAAATGTTCACAGGCATTTGTAATCAGGTTCAAAAAATGAAATCAACACTTTTCTGTGTTCTTGTAGAAGTAGCGTGATATAGTGGTTCAGATCAGGGATTCTAGAGCCAGACTACCTGAATTAGCACCCCATGCCTGTCAGTCATTTAATGGTTCTGTGACAAAGTCTCTCGTTCTCAGTTTCCTCATCTAAGAAATGGGAAAATAATGATACTGATCTTATAAATTAGACGTGAGTATTAAGTGAATTAATTCTTCAAAGCACTTTGAACAGTGCCTGGTATACCATAAGTGCTGTGTAAGTTTAGCTAATAATGTTTTTTTCTTTTAGTCCAAAATTTAGTTAGCTTAATAGACCCTTTAAAGTAGCATCAGGAGACAATCTTTCATTTGGGGTTGGCAAAAGTCTCCTATAAATAACTTTTGATATTATTATTTACTGTTGTCCCCGGTCACCAAGAAGTGATAATATTGAGAATTATGCAACTGGAGTTACATTGTGTCAGTGAATTGTATCCTATGCAATTTGCTTCACTTTTTAAATATTCTCAATTCCATTACCTCAAAATAAGCTCAATATTAGGCATCTTTCCTGTATACTCTCATGGTTATGGACCCTGATTGACATGCTTATCTCTATGGAAGAAGGAGCGGACGTGCATGTGTCTGTGTGTTTGCAGGCAGGGGTGTCATGTTTAGTATGCTCAGAATCTAAGCATATGCCATTTGGGATTCACCTTGAACAGAGTCCAGGAGAGGGTGACAGACCATCTAGGCCAGTCACAGGAAACCATCAGATTTAGCGGACAGAACTCTTTAACCCCTCTTTTCCTTCCTCCTGAGAACCATGTTCATCTTGTGAGCACTACCCAGAACTCACACACATCACAAACAGCCCATTGTCCAGAAGTTGGCTGCAAGGGAGGCAGGGCATTTAAATTTTAGTTGGGGCAGGGGTCATGGCCCCATTTTATTTTCCTCTATCATATTATGAAAGGAGAATAAATATTGGGGGACAATTGGCAGTTTATGTCCACACGAGTGTTGCTAAGTATTTTCAAGGCCTTTGAAAATACCAGTGAATCTCAGTGTCATCTCTGTAACAGAATATATTAGAGATGTGAGGAAATATCTGGGAAGAAAGTGGAGGTGGACTTTCCCTTTCCAGTCATAACACCTAGCCCACACTTACTGTGAGCATCGCAGATAACCTCCCTTCTACTCAAGGCAATACTCATGTTGGTTTCTGATAAATGCCAAAGACTCTCACTGAAACTACTGTCAATGGCTTTTAAGGTATGCTCTGTGCTTTTGCTGTCCTATTTTTCTTCCTGAAAGCCCTGTGACCAAGATGGAGAATGTAGCCTCTCTGAAAGACAGGGCCCACTCATACCAGACAAAGTCTCCCCTGACCAGAGCTAGTCTCTAGATTGTCAACATGAATTATTGTTCTTTAGGACTCACAAAGTTGACTGAAAACTTTTGCTACTCAAGAGAAATAATTACACATTGGCCAACTAACCCTCCACCAGAAACTCATCCTTGTTACTGTGGACAGGGCTCTGAAGAGTAGAATGTATGTGAATCCTTTGACCCGGGGAGGCAAAGTCCGTGACCACTAGGGTAGAACCACAGGGGACATTTGTTACTGGGTAGAGTTGTAGTGAAAAAGTCCCGAGTGCAAGCTTGGAAAATTATCCAAAGACAAAGTTTTTTTACTTCCTAGTTTTGAGCAGGCCAGCATTACTGGTTAGTATAATTCTAAACGACCTCCTCTCTCATATAAAAGAAGAACATTTTTATGTGGGATGTGCCGCCTTTTTTATCTCTGTTATATTTGTTTGCCTGATGTAAATACCAGTCATTGGCATCACTGCTGATTCCTA